GCGTATGCCCCGGGTGATCTGTCTGGCTGTGGTGCCGATTTGCCTGTCCGCGCATGTGGTCCGGGCTCTGTGGCTTTCACCGGTAAGTTCCACCTTCCCTGCTTTTCATGTGAGAAGGGTTATTTAGAAGTTTGACAGTTACGTGGTGTCCATGAGTCCTTGAGAATCACGGTTAAATTTACACCCGGGGCTCACGAAAACGAGTCGTCTCATCCATATTGTCTGCATGATAGAATTTTGTTTTTCACTAACACTGCGGGGGGACTTATTTTTTTTCCGCGGAGAACACATTACAATCTAGAAGTCCGATTTTCACCGATCTGTTCCAGAAAAAAAAAAAACTCAAAATAGATGTCGATTTACAGCTCGATTTTTACCACAAATAGACATATATTTTCCCCGAAAACAGAATTGTAAACTGATCATATTTTTTTAATCAATTCTCACTGGGGATAGACATTGATTTTTTGCTGAAGATAGAAACAAAGAAAGAATGATATTTTTCATTGAAAAAAAAGATTAAATCACTCTATGTTTCTGTTGGATCTGACCCCGTTTCACATTGCACCCCAGGGAGCTCCAATTCATTGCGTCAAAGTGCTTCCAGACCCTCTCCAGAGGCCATCAAACCACCCCCTGGAAGCACTGATTGGAGGCCATCACTGGAGGCACCTCCCTAATTGGTTCCTAGCAGGACATTTCTCCACTGATGGTTTTGGTTGTTTTGATGTGCTCTGGCAGTTATTATTCAGGCCTAGACAGTGCCTTAGCTCATTAAATTCTGTTCATATTGCTTCTGGTTGATGTATCAGCACTGCATAACATCCTTGGTTTGTGCACCAGAGCTCTCCACCTGTGTGTAGAGAGGCAAACATATTTGAACAATGTGACACACAAGTAGCTCATGTACAGGCACCACAATGCAATTCAGCAGAAAAAGTGGTCTGCAGCGTCTGTTAAGGATATAGCTATTTTGCAGGGTTCTGCAAAATAGATTAGTAATTTAAATTTGATAAATTGATGCACTTTGAGTCCAAATACTGGATCTCACTGTTCTCTACCCTCAGTAGCTCTACTACCGTTCTAACAAAACTCAGTAAGGCAAATTGCTAAGTGGATGGGATGGTCAAGTGAGGGAGAGCATGACTGCTTCTTGTGACATGAGAGAGTGATGGGTGGCTGTCCCCATCATCACTCTCTCCTTCCTTCCACAACAGTCAATTCCTGTGTCTCTGATAGATACAGTGTAAGAGCCATCAATGGATGAATTTGTTCTGTAGTGTTCCACAGACCACGGTAGCCTACCATACTTTATAAATATGATCTAATATACTTCCTCCTTGTCCCAAACAAGTTCCACAAAACTAGAGAAAGCAGGTCGTGGACAATAAGCCCACTTGCTTCTGTTTGAGGCACATCACAACCTGATCAAGATTCCCCTTCTGCAATTGCGACCACATAAGTGAGCTTTTGGGAGCAAATTTTTTTGAGAGCAATAGAAGGCCATACTAGCTACTATTTCTTCCTATTATACTAAGAAATTGGACCAGCATAGCATGAGCTAGAGGTTGCACAAGGCTCACATGTGAATGAGCATGACAGCGTGTTTGTTGATTAGCTCCCACCGCCTTCCCTCCAAGTGGATCTTCTCTGTCTGGTAACCTAATCCCCATTGAGACTCTCCCACATCTCATGGTCAACCGCGCCAAGTCTGAACGTGTCAAAGGCCATTTGCATGCACGGAAACAAGAAAAGATCACGCATGCCCTTGCAGAGTATTGTACCCAGCAAGCCAGGCCTCAGACAATAGGGAAACCCAAATACATTCAAACCCTGGCTGATGAACATGGCATATCCTATGGTACACTACACCAACGCATACAGGGAGGGAAAAGTAGGAAGGAGGCAAGTGCCAACAAGCAGAGCTTGACACCAGCACAAGAATGGTCACTGGTGGAATTCATCAAGGAGTCAGCAAGCATGGGGATGCTGCTTTCCCATCGGCAGATTGAGGAGTATGCAAATGCAGCTCGGGAAGCTGTTCTTGGCTCGGGTTGCTAGCTGGTGGGGAGAAAGTGGGTTTTTAAGTTCTTGGATCAACACCAGGAGAATCTACAGACCCATTGGAGCAAGCCTCTTGACTCACAACATGCAAAAAGCTTGAATCCTGCTGCAGTCAAGTCATGGGTCGAGTTGGTGAAGAAATATGTTGTCGATATGGGTGTCGAGCCGGACTGCATCTATGGGATGCATGAGAGTGGATTTCCAACTGGATACACAGGGAAGGAGAGAGTGGTGGGCAAACGTGGTACCAAGACACAGCACAAGCAAGGAGGGGCAAGCCGGCAAAACATCACTGCGCTTGTGACAATTTGTGGAGACGGCAAGATGGTTGTGCTGCCAATGATTATCTTCCCGGTGATAGGCTGGCTACCAGACGCGCTCTGCACCAGCTCTGTAAGGGCGTATTTTTGCGCTTTTTACAGAGTTTACTCTTGAACCATTCGGTGTATCGTGTCGCGGTTGACAGTGTTGCGCTCAGTAGGACTTATGGGTCTACTGCCCAGTCGACGACTGTGGATAGTGTCGACGATAGCAAGGCAGTCAGACCACTACTGTGGAACTGGTCTTATGAGTCTATACCAGGCTCAGGGCCATTAGTGATGAACGCTTGGACCGCGACCATTCCCCAGAAAGGGGATCTGTCGTTGCGTCGACTTCTCAAAAGGGTCATTCTCTGCAGATGGGAACTTGGGCTGAAGGGCTGAGCAATGCGCGACGTTCTCAATAATACAACTACCACTGGACAGGACTTGGCGTTACGAGACTTAAACCGTCTTGTCGCGGCAACTCCCGGTTTTGAGTTGGACGTTTCCTCAGATCGAGCCACGACGACGACTTGTCACATGTCAGGATCCATTCGATCACGGGACATTGTGGACGCGTCGCGGTGACACTTCCAAGTGTCACGGCGAGTCGCGCCCATACCCAAACACACTAAAACCGACACGGCTAGATCCGTGAACCGAACCATGTGGGAGACGACTGGCGTGCCTAGGGCCATACGGCTTCTTGGGGCACCCACGTTGGACTCACTCGCCAAGACATACCCGTTGGCCAATCCAACACGTCGTATTCCAAAAGTATGACGCGGTGGGTTGACCCACATCAAAAGTATCATATGGGCTATGGGGCGGGGTCCTGATCACTCAGGTCCTGTCCGATCGTTCAACTTTTCAATTACTCTAAAAGGCAACCGATCTTAGATAGCGTAGCTACTATACAGTTGTACAGGACCTTACTAAGCATCGTCGTAGACAGTATAAGTAGCACGTCGTTTCTTTGTATTAGGGAGCTTTCCCCCGGACTGTGAATCACTCTCATTTCAGATTGTTTTGTACAATTTGCGTGCTGCGTGATTCCACCCTAAGAAGTTCTGCCACCCCTGCCCGGTCGCGACGAGTCGCTCCCTGAGCACTTGTAGCTACTGTGATTTGAGTTTGAGTTGAGACATCAGAAAGTCGGATTCGCCGCATCTGATTTAGTCGCGGCATTTAGTGTCGTCGCCTTCGGGCTTTGTTGAGATCGTTCCACACCTCTAGCTTGGCAGTGCGTTGACTAGTTGTGCTCGGGTTGTTTTGGTCAGTTGGCAGTGCGTCGACTTGAGAACTTTGGTTCCACACTTCTTGCTTGGCAGTGCGTCGACAAGTTGTGCTCGGGTTTTGGACATTGGATATTGGCTGTTAGTTGGCAGTGCGTCGACGCGGCATTTTGGTTTACTAGTTGGCAGTGCGTCGACTCAGTATATTGGTTGTATCGGTTGGCAGTGCGTCGACTTGATATTTGGGCTTTGCGTCACCATCTGGGCGCTGTCGCTACAAGGGATCTTAATACTTCGTATTAAGCTCTGACTTGTTATATTGTTGTTTGTGGATTGGATTAGTGTTGGTTGTGTTCGTATAGAAGATATTGGTTGAGACACCATTGTTTTGCTATATATAAATTCTTGTCGTCGACTTCGTCTCCGCGACTATTGGATCTGCGTCTATTGAGAGTTGTGATACTGGTGCTCTGTCCACCCCGAAGCCCTCGCATCTTTCACACACTGAGAAGCTGATTACGAGGAGTGTGAACGTGTTTTATATTTGGGTTTACTTTCATAGTAGATTCACTTGTGAGCACGCCCTCAGCATTTCACCGGGAGCAAAGTTCCAATCGACATGGAACAACAGCAATTCTATCAATGCATTGTGAGTTTGACAAGACACTGCTGAGTAGCTCTGACGCACACATCTGCAACAAGTATCTGTTGCTCCCTCACTGGCTGGACTGACCGCAACCTTGGCTACAAATGGCTGTTCAAAGTATGCGACCCTGCAACAAAAGAAGAGGCCAATGGAAGGCCTCGGGTACTTCTTCTCGATGGCCACAGCTCACATTACAGCGAGATGTTCCTCTAGTTTGCGCGCAACAACAATATGATCCTCCTTGGCTATCCTCCTCACTGCACCCACGCACTCCAAGGCTTGGATGTTGTGTGTTTCTTGAAGATGAAGGAGTGCTGGAAGAGAGAGATTGTAGCGTTCAAAGCAAAGCACAAATGCGATGTGGCAAAGGCTGATTTCTTGACAGTGTGGGCTCCTGCATACAAAGAGGCCTTCAATAAGAAGACTGTAAAGGCAGCATTTAGAGTCACTGGGGTTGTACCGTTCAACCCAAACTTTGTCGGTCCCAAACAGATGGCTCCAAGCCAATCCACCTCCACGTGCGGGGAGTTCCCAATGCCCCAGCCAAGCCCGATCCACCGAATAACACAAGCTATGGCACTGCATAAGCCAACATGCGCCGAGCGAGACCCAGACTTACTCGCAACACCCACACCATGCACACCCTCCCGTTGTCCTTGTACTGAGGATGACCACAGCGAGAACAAAAGCGCAGACATTTGAACCTCATCGAAGAAGATTTGATCGCTTTACGCTCATCTCGCAACCACATCCATGGGGTCCCTGCTTCTCAGCACGCCCAAAATCACTTCCCGGACAAATCCCATCCATCCTCCTGTCATCCAGACTATGCCCTCTGCACTGCCGCAGCCAGATTGGTCACTGGTGCTCCAAGGTTCAAGCACAGACAGCTGGAAATCACGGCATCAGCTTGAATCTGAGTTGACTGAACTGCGGGCACACCTAAAACGGGCCCAAGTGCAGTCGCAGGTGCAGTCACAAATGCTTCAAGAGGTGAATGCAACCATGGTTTTCCAAAACATTGCCCTGAAGAAAACAAATGAGGCTCTGCACCTCCGGGAAGAGCAAGCAACAAACAATCGTGCTTGACTCTTCAAGGGTCAAGCCCAATGCCTGTCCTCCAATGAGTTCTTTGATCAAGTGCGGAGCATAGAGATGGAGAAACAGGAGAAGAATGCAGAGAAATTGAGAAAAAAGGCTTTGAGAGATGATAAAAAGGCTGCAAAAGCTGCTCTGGAGGAGCAGTGGGTCAAGATCAAAGAGGACCACACCGTTAAGGTGGCCAAATGGGAAAAGGAATGTGCGAAAATGGTTGGGAAAGGTGCCCGGAAGAAGGACTTACTAGCCAAGCCCAAGTGCACTAAGAAACCACGGCTCCAGGAGGATGCAGATGACGATGACGACAAGGATGACGGTTGTCAAGATGAATCATAGTGGTGATGCATGACATCCATTGACCAGGAATCGTGACTGATGGACTTGCTTGAGGATATCGTGCACTATAATGGGTACTCTCAACTAATTTTACTTACACTTGGTAGGCAGATTCTTAAAGGTATCTAGTTGGTACAGGTACACTTTGTTATACTAATTTCGGCTTGTGGTGAAATGGAATGCCAGAGGATTGGTCGATCAATTCATTGATGGGTCTTACACTGTACAGTGTCCATACTTGTGATATAAATCCCTTTTCACTCTTGCTTTGCTTCTAGGATGACGCCATTCTTGTCTCTTTTGTCTACCATAAACCACTCCAACATTGACAAGCTATGTGGTCTCTGGGGCGTTTTGAATGAAGGGACCATCCCACAATGTTGAGAGCGGCTTAGGGGCTACATGGACGATAACCTGCAATTATCTCAGGATCCTACCTTCAAAGCCCTGTTCCCACAACATCAACTGTCCAAAGACGACGCTAACCCCGGAATGTGGGAACCCTGGGGCGGCATCATACTGGAGCATGGACCCTCCCCACCACCTTCACTGTCAATTGAGAACACCAATGCTCTTGACGATCTCCTGCAGTCAGATATTTGCAATCTTGTCAACTCGCTGTCAAACCATGCTCTACAAGGGCTTCTGGCTCTAAGCTATGCTGACAAGGATGATGGTGAGTTTCTTTGCTGTGCTGGCACATCGCCTCTCCCCTATCCAGACCCTTCCCCTATCCTCTCGCTTTCTCTTGGCATTGCCTGAGCAGGCACAGTGATAGGCTGGCTACCAGGTATGCTCTGCAGCAACTCTATAAGGGCGTATTTTTGCGCTTTTACAGAGTTTACTCTTGAACCATTTGGTGTATCATGTCACGGGTGCCAGTGTGGCGCTCAGTAAGACTTGAGGGTTTGCTGCCCAGTCAATGTCCACACCTCTAGTTGGCAGTGCGTCGACTTGATATTTTGGGTTTTGTGTTGCTATCTGGACACTGTTGCTACAAGGGATCTTAATACTCCATATTCAGTTCTGACTTGTGATATTGTTAGTTGTGGTTGGATTAGTGTTGATTTTGGTTGTATGGAAGATATTGGTTGAGACACCATTTCTTGCTATATAAATTCTTGCACGTTGACTCTGTCTTCCACAACTATTGGATCTCACGTCTATTGAGAGTTTTGATTCTGGTGCTCTGTCCACCCTAAAGCCCTTGTATCTTTCACACACTAAGAAGCTGATGACGAGGAGTGTGAACATGTTTATATTTGGGTTTACTTTCATAGTAGATTCACTTGTGAGCGTGCCCTCAGCATTTCATGGCCAGTCGTCCAAAGATTCCACCAGAGCTCTTGTACCCAAATGGTGCAGCGTGATCCACAAGGAATTGCTCCCACTTGCATGTCACAGTGTGCCTGCTGGGACGGATGTAGTGGGCATTGCCTGTAGGCGGCATCAACGTCAAGTGTAGCAGCTTGCATCCCCTGTGGAGCATCCACAACAAGCAGAACTACCTCACACAACTTGTTGACTCACTGCCAAGCAAGAAGTGTGGAACCAAAGCTCTCAAGTCGACGCACTGCCAACTGACCAAAACAACCCGAGCACAACTAGTCAACGCGCTGCCAAGCTAGAGGTGTGGAACGATCTCAACAAAGCCCAAAGGCGACGACACTAAATGCCGCGACTAAACCAGATGCGGCGAATCCGACTTTCTGATGTCTCAACTCAAACTCAAATCACAGTAGCTACAAGTGCTCAGGGAGCAACTCGTCGCGACCGGGCAGGGGTAGCAGAACTTCTTAGGGTGGAATCACGCGGCACCCAAATTGTACAAAACAATCTGAAATGAGAGTGATTCACAGTCCGGGGAAAAGCTTTTTAATACAAAGAAACGGCGTGCTACTTATTCTGTCTACGACGGTGTTTAGTAAAGTCCTGTACAACTGCATAGTAGCTACGCTATCTAAGATTGGTTGCCTTTTAGGGTAATTGAAAAGTTGAACGATCGGACAGGTCCTGAGTGATCAGGACCCCGCCCCATAGCCCATATGATACTTTTGATGTGGGTCAACCCACCGCGTCATACTTTTGGAATACGACGTGCTGGATTGGCCAACGGATATGTCTTGGCAGGTGAGTTCAACGTGGGTGCCCCAAGAAGCTGTATGGCCCTAGGCACGCCAGTCATTCCTCACATGGTTCGGTTCACGGATCTAGCCCGTGTCAATTTTAGTGTGTTTGGGTATGGGCGCAACTCGCTGTGACACTTGGAAGTGTCACCGCGACGCGTCCACAATGTCCCGTGATTGAGTGGATCCTGACATGTGACAAGTTGTTGCCATGGCATGATCTGAGGAAACGTCCAACCCAAAACCGGGAGTTGCCGCAACAAAATTGGTTCAATCTCGTAACGCCAAGTCCTGTCCAGTAGTAGTTGTATTATTGAGAACGTCGCACATTGCTCAGCCCTTCAGCCCAAGTTCCCATCTGCAGAGAATGACCCTTTTGAGAAGTCGCCGCAACAAAAGATCCCTTTTTGGGGAATTGTCGCGGTCCAAGCGTTCGTCACTAATGGCCCTGAGCCTGGTATAGACTCATAAGACCAGTTCCACAGTAGTGGTCTGACTGCCTTGCTATCGTTGACACTATCCACAGTCGTCGACTGGGCAGTAGACCCTTAAGTCCTACTGAGCGCAACACTGTCAACCGCGACATGATACACTGAATGGTTCGAGAGTATACTCTGTGAAAAGCGCAAAAATACGCCCTTACAGAGCTGGTGCAGAGCGGGTCTGGTAGCCAGCCGATCACCGGGGCCGGGCGGGCAGCGCGGGCCGGTGCTACAGCAGGGAACACCAGGGCACGAGGACAAGGGGTGACCACAAGGGGTGCTCAAGGTGCAGGCGCAGACTGCCCTCGAGAGGCCTTGGCTGTGAGTTCTGTGTTGTACTGGTGGAACTGTGACAATCAACAAGAAATAATGTCGAAAAGAGAAGTGAATTTGAAGACTGGAGAAAACAATCAAATAGCTACAGTATTTATACCCAAGAGTCCAGTCTGAGTCATATCTACAACTAATGAGTCATAAGGCTATGTACCGCATGGAGCACTGGTCATGGGTTGTAGTAGAACCTTCCGGAGCATATGTCGCGCAGCCTCGAATTGATAAGGATAATCCCTGGAACCCCTAGCCCGGACCGTCTGATGCCGTGATCCGTGATAAGAGAATCCGTGCCGAGATAAGATAAGATGGTCGATGATAAGATGAAAAAGAGTCGAATTATGACATTACCCCCTCTCTAGGGTCGATGTCCTCATCGACTAGGCCAATGGGCATGAAGACGTTCTCGTAGGGGCCGAAGAGTTGTTGCTGGGGATATGGAAGGCGCTCGTCTTTGGGTTTGTAGCGATGGATGAGATAATCCCAGTGTCCGGCTTGGAGCGTTGGCAGGAGGCGAATGCGTGTGTCTGGGTTGGATTGTTTCCTCTGCCAATCTCTCAGGACCTTTTTTGCGTGGGTAAGGTGACGTGATGGTTCCCAGGTATTTTTGCTATGCGGCCATCCCCTCCATTTGACCAAGTACTGTTTTCCTCGGCTGACGTTTTGCTCTTTCACTGTAAGGGCAACTCCTGCCAGCCCAAAGGAAGAGAGCACACAGCACACAACAACCTCACATGAGTCTGAGCACAGAGGGGGATCCTTAGAGACTATCAAATACAAGGGAGGTATACTACTCACCTGAGCACAGAGGGGGATCCTTAGAGAACGGTTCAAGGATCCATGTGCCCAGGTGTCACACTATATAGTCAGCTGTGACAAGTGACTGATGATGATGGGATATCACTGCCATGGAACAATGGCAGATGACAAGTAGATGATGACAAACCCAGATAAGATAGTGAGTGGCTCAGAGGGGCCAGTGATGGCCAGCTCCTGAGACACCAACAGTGGAAGGCCACACTGGAGGAGCCCAGTGGCCAGGCCAGTGCCAGGCCGGCCAGTGGAGACATCGGAGGCGAGGACCAATGCCCGACTGGGAAGAGGGGTGGTGCAGATGAGCGCAAGGGCATCTGGTACGAGCCTGTACGGCAGTAGACCACATCTGCGGGGAGAAGGCCGAAGTGAAGGGGGAGGAGTGCATACGGCAGTAGCACTCCCTGGTGCAAGGAATCGGGCTTGGCTAGACCGCTTGCGGGGATTCGAGGGAGATGGCCGGGGGAAGGAGGGAGAGGGCGGATGTCGGCATAGATGGAGATGAGGATCGGAGGAGGAGGAGGAGGCTGGGTGATCGACAGGTGAGCAGGCACGGGTCGGCAGAGAGGGCGCAGTGGGTCATGTGCATGGTCACGTGCCCAAGGAGCGCGGCGTCCCCTGACATTCACGATCTCTTCGACTTCCCACTCCTCTGCTCCTCCGATCATCTTGGCTACGGGCCTCTTCTCTTGGCGATGGGGGGGTGGTTTGTGATAGGGTGTCAACAGTGACTTGTTGAACACCGGGTGTCTTCGGTCCGTGTCCGGCAAATCCAGCTTCCATGCAGCCGCTCCAACCTTCTCCAGTATCTCGTATGGCCCCAATCTCTTGTCGCTCATCTTTTTCAAAGGCCTGTCCATCTCGATATTGTCCCCCTCTATGTACACCTTCATCCCAACCTTCAACTCCGGAACTTCTTTTCTTTGTTTATCGTAGTATTGTCAGGGGAAGGAACCCCCTCTTCTGATCGATCAGCTTGGGATCTGGCATGCGATCGCGCTCGTGTGACCTGTCAGCTGTCATGTACCGCGGCCCGGACTGCCGCGCCGAGCACTTCTCTCTGATGGGTACATGGTCAGGTGTCCCATCGTTCCCACTGTCTCGGTTTCCTATTGTTCTCCAACGGCCATTGTACTTATTGTTCCCATTGTTCTTTGTTTGTCGCTGCGCACTCTATTGTTCTTGTATCATATAAATAGTGGCGCCTGGCAAGGAGAATCCCCAACATGGTTTCTCTTTGGATTCTCCC